CCAAATAATGACAATACACGATATAATGTAAACACTGACACGGTATGTCGATTTAATGCAAAGACACGAGAAGATGCTAAAGAACATGTTACAAAACAAAACAGAGAGTGGGTATGTCAAACAAATACGGCAACATGTCAGGTAAGAAAGTGACATGCTATGCCACAAAAGGTAGTTTACATAACATGGTGTCAGGGATGAAAGTGACAGATATACGGATATGATGACAAATATTGACACAGCATATAAAACAAGACAGTGACGCGATCTGATGCCAAACAACGACGGGCAGGCACACACGAATACGTAAAAAAAAATATGAAAGAAAGAAAGAAAGAAAGAAAGAAAAAAAACATCGTGAAAGCCCTCACTCCAAGATAACCATTCTCATACTTTCAAACTTCTATGACACTTGATTCATTTCCTGACAAAAAAGTTCTGCTTGATAACAACTTCTTGAAGATGTTTCCTCTTCTTCCGAAACCCCTTGACTCGCTGTTCAGTTTACCTTCATTGTGTCCTGGTTTGCAATTGCATTCTCTTCCATGTATATAGTTAAAAGGATTTCTTTCTCAGCTGACCTATAGCAGTTCATTGTGTTTCATACTTCTGCAATAACTCTCAATATCTAATCCTCAATATTGGCTTTCTATGTTGGTTGCCGCATTTGATGGTATATAAAACTACCTCGATTTCAACAGGGAGATTCAAGAAGAAAAAAATTGAGTATTTAAATACCGAACATCATTTTTTTAGTTATCCTTTCAAAATGCCTCAAATTCGGTATATAATTATTACAAACTACAAAAGTAAATTCTACTGAATGCAAAAAAGAAAAAAAAAACACATGTATATATATACCCACTTAAAACTTACGGCCTTTGTATCATAGCATGAATGCTAAATCATGGTTCACTTCAAATCATTCTCTCGCTACTGAACAAATCCATCTATCGCTGTTGACTTTAACTGCTTTAAAATCCATCTGCGCTTGTATTAAGGGAAAAGAAAATATATTTCCGCTGCTAAAACACGAACGACTTTAATTAAAATACGTCTGCATTCGAGTCAAGGCCGCGAGTCCATTCCCAAGACCGATTTCCCATTAGCACTGAGAGTGAATATCGCCTCTACTGACATGAAAGCAATACTCTTTACTCTTTCCCAACGGTTCTCACTTTAATACTTGTGACCTGTGCCGGTAATATACACGGCAGCCGATAAAATTGAGATTATTTATTTTTTTTAATTTGTTGTTTAAATTATTGTCGCACATTTCGCAAAAGTCGACTCGTTTTTGCACCATAGTACGAGTAAATTCTTCTCGAACTGCTTTATAACAGTCTGACGTCGCAACCGTGTTTTCGATTTCATAGATCATGGTTAAAAGGAGGATAAAACGGACAGTTCCCCGTTGCAGAATTCCCCGCTTCTCTTCCCACCCGATCTTGCGCCAACTTGTGCAGCCATTGCCGTTGGCGTCGCAGTTCACCCGGTGCCTATGCTGGCTTGGCACCATGAGTCACCGTCGACCACTCGTACTCCAAGCAGTGGCCCCGCGGAAGTGCTATCCAGCTGAAACAGTTCGGAACCTACGCCTCTTGGGTCTTGCCATGGCCGCGTGCTGTCGAACGTCCAACACAGGGCACACTTGGGGCACTGTGCGACACATAGGCCTATTCAGGTTGCGATACCAGGTATAGGTTCTTCAATACTGGATTCAACAGTTGCGATAAGCGCCCCCCCACTTCCCACCACCAACACACAGACACACACACGCGCGCGAGCACACACACACACACACATAAACATGCGCGCGCAGGCCCATATAATACATACAAAACATACATTAATTCTTTCATGTCATCTGTTTGTCTTGATATACACTCAATCTTTTTTTTTTTTTTTTTTTTTTTTTTTTTTTTTTTTTTTTTGCTGTGCGTGTTTGCGACCATAATTTTCCTGGCGCTTTCCTCCGTCCCTGACCTCGCTCCGCGCCCCCTTACAACGGCCCGGGAAAACTTTCGGAAAATGGCGGACGACGAACGCAACCGAAAACACCCAAAACGAAAACATGATTATTTTTTGTCTTTCCTTTCTTCTTCTTCTCTAATAGGCCTATATATACACACATGTACCATGTATATACGTACATACATACATACATATACATATATATATTATATATATATATATATATATTATATATATATTGTGTGTGTGTGTGTGTGTGTGTGTGTGTGTGTGTGAGTGTGTGTGTGCGTGTGTGTGTGCGTGTGCGTGTGCGTGTGTGTGTGTGTGTGTGTGTATGTGTGTGCGTGTGTGTGTGCGTGGGTGTGAATGAATATATATACACATGTATAATATATATTATATCTATATCTATATTTATATATAATATATATATATATATATATATATATAGAGAGAGAGAGAGAGAGAGAGATAAATACATATATAATACACACACACACACACACCACACACACACACATATATATATATATATATATATATATATATATATATATATATATATATGTATGTATATACAAATAAATACATATATGTGCATATACATACATACATACATAAATATATCTATATATCTATCTATCTATCTATCTATATAATATATATATATATTCTAATATATATACACAAACACACACACACATATTATATATATATATATATATATATATATATATATATATATATATATATATAATGTATGTATGCATGTATGTATGGTGTGTGTGTGTGTGTGTGTGTGTGTGTGTGTGTGTGTGTGTGTGTGTGTGTGTGTGTGTGTGTGTGTGTGTGTGTGTGTGTATACGAACCTAAGTCAGAGATATGGCGCTGACTTAAGGCGCCGC